GATTGATACCATTTCCATCCTCCATACCGATCCCCCGCCATTTATGACGAGATCCTCTAACACACATATTAACAGCACGAATCAGTGAGAAGGACAGTTTGGCTCTTACCCAGTATTTTTTTTATTATTATTATTATTATTATTATTATTATTATTATTATTATTATTCTTATTATTATTATTATTATTATTATTATTATTATTATTATTATTATTGATTATTATTATTATTATTATTATTATTATTATTATTATTATTCTTATTATTATTATTATTATTATTATTATTATTATTATTATTATTGATTATTATTATTATTATTATTATTATTATTATTATTATTATTATTATTATTATTATTATTATTAGTATTATTATTATTATTATTATTAATTTGCTTTTAATTTTTCTGTCTTTTTTTCTTTTTATCTGCTCCTTTTTGAGAGAATTATATTGAGAATGGAAACAAGACTGACTTGCTGAAATGGAGGAAGGTCAGCTAGAGAAAAGTTATTAAAGACTGAGGGAGAAATAGAAATGAAGGAGAGGGAAATAGAAAGAAATGACAACAAAGAGAGAGACAGTGACATGAGTGTGTGTCAGTAAGAGAAGGAATGTACAGTATATACTACTAGAGAGGGAGAGAGAGAGAGAGATTGATGAGAGATCAAGAGATGTTCATGTGTTAGATTTATGATAATATAATGTGTCACTGGTCCACCTTCTTCATGTAAAGTAGTGTATTCTGATTGGTTGCTTATGGTGAAGATGAACTGACTTGGTATAATAATTGTTGTATCAAGAGATTATTAATAAGTTCACATAAAGAATGATTAGTCTGAGTCCGAGCTCCAGTCTGAATCACTGTCTGAGTCATTCATCATAATGAATGATTGATACCAGTTTACTCTGTCTTGTATGAGGTGATAGTTAGGATAAGTATTAATACAAGTCTCTTTGTGTCGCTCGTCCAGCCTGAGTGTCCTTATATTCTTATTATCTATTAGTGACTGGAGGATGAGTAGTATTGACTCAGTAGACAATGAAGTCCACCTTAGATCCAGTTCAACTAGTGATGAGTTATTGAGGAGGAGGTAAGAAAGAGCCTGTCCACTAGTAGAAGTGATGAGAGGATTATAAGAAAGGTCTAATGAGGTAAGTGTAGAGGACATCAATATGTATCAGAAAATGTAATTAAAATTTGAGGTGTTTTTGAAGCCATTTTTCAGAAAAAACCATGGGCTATAGTACAGTGATTTTTTCAAAATTTTGGCATATTCTTAAAATGGCCGTAACTCGAAATATTGAAGTCAGTACAGTGATTTTTTCAAAATTTTGACGTTTTCTTAAAATAGCCATAACTCAAAAAATTGAAGTCGGAATCAGCTCAAACTTGCTGCACAGCATAAGGGCAGCAATATGTATCAAAAAATGTAATAAAAATTTGAGGTGATTTTGGAGCCTTTTTTTGAAAAAAACCATAGGCTATAGCCTTGGGTATTTTTCAAAATTTTGGGATTTTATTAAATTGGCTGTAACTTGAAAAATTGAAGTCGGAATCAGCTTAAACTTTCTATACAGCTTAAGGACATGAATATGTATCAGAAAATGTGATAAAAATTTGGGGTGATTTTGGAGCCATTTTTCGGAAAAACCATGGGCTATAACCTTGGGTATTTTTACATTTTATTAAAATGGCTTTAACTTGAAAAAATAAGTTGGAATCATCTCAAACTTTCTACACAGCATAAGGACATCAAAATGTATCAGAAAATGCAATAAAAATTTGGGGTAATTTCAAAGCCATTTTTGAAAAAAACCATGGGCTATAGCCTTGGGTATTTTTCAGAATTTTGACATTTTCTTAAAATGGCCGTTATTGAAAAATTTTATGTCAGAATCAGCTCAAACTTTCTACACAGCATAAGGACATCAATACGTATCAGAAAATGTAATAAAAATTTGGAGCCATTTACTCTATTATACTCAATTAAAGTACATTTTAGGTATTTAGTACAGTACTCTTGGTGGTTGGTAACTTGGTATTATTATGGGATAAACACAGTCAAAAATTATAAGTCCAAAATCATCATTCATTATGTTGATAGGTAGCATCAGTTGATTGGTGTAAAGGTCCTGATAGAGGTCTGCCCTGTCCTGATGTTATATTCTACTTTCATCTCTCATCAGAGGAGGGACTCAAGAGATCAGGATATGGAGAAGAGAGATACGTGAAGAAGTCATTCCAAGAGGTCAGTCAATGAGTGAGTGTTTCTTCATAGCAGGGATTCATGTATGTACATGTATAGCTAGTCTGGGCCTATATTTTGAGGTGACAAATTTGATAACTTTTTGCCAAATAAAACCTGCTTTATGCACCTGCCAAACACAAAATTAAATAAATTTGCCAAAATAAATTTGCCAAAATATTTTTGATCATTTTTGCCTAAAATTTGGATTGAAAATTTCGATAGTTCAATCAAATTTTTAAGCCAATGTGTTTGTTAAAGCTCTCTCATTCTCATTCTCTCTTTTTCTCATTCCCATTCTCTCTCGTTCTCATTCCCTTTCTCTCATTCCATCTCACTTTCTCATTCTTTGAGGGGCATGGTCAATGAGGGGCATGAGGGGCATGGCATGAGGGGCATGGTCAATCTGGCGGCTCTTACATTTTGAAATTATTTTTCTATTTAATAAAAAAATTATTTATTAATAAACTAATATGTATATGAAATTAATACCAAAATTGTAATCTTGTTTTAATAGTTTTATAATAAGGTAAAGAAGAACAAGTTTGTTTATGTTTATTGTCTAGAGCTAGTATCCTTAGTGTATTATTGGTCCTGAGAGATTCCATCAGTACCAGTACTCCATCAGTATCAATGTTAGTATGGTAGAGAGAAAGGGCAGATAGTGTGTGGTTGTAGAGTAAAAGTTTAGCTAGTGACTGAGCACTGGTTGAAGTGATGTCAGGATTGTCTTGAAGATATAAGTAAGTAATTGTTTTATTATTAATTAATGATTGTGTTAGTGCAATGACTCCATCATCATTGATGGAATCAGGACTGATCCATAGTGTCTCTAATGAAGTGTTGTTTGTTATTTTGTGTGACAGTAAGAGGATGACATCTTTTGTTATTTTAGTGTTATGTATACGAATTATCTTTATTGTTTTTATGTCTAGTGCTAGTGACATCAATAGGTATACAATATCAGGTGATGAGTGATAGAGGTAAATGTTCTGATGACTGTCCGTTAATTGACTGATCACTTCCTGACATTGACCTGCTGATGGTTTAGTGAGGGATACATCATACCAGGTCCACTTCACCTCTCCAGTCTCTTCTCCTAATAATAAACACAGTCAGTCAGTTAATGTGTGTATATTATTATTTTAATACAGTATAATAGGTAAAATGATAATATTATATTATTTTATTAATGATGTTTGTTTGTGTGTTGTTCCAGGTGATGCTGGTTTTTGTACCAGTAAGTCATTACAGCTGCTAGGATGGAATGGATGTGGTCTATCTTTTATCATGTGACAGTAAACAAAAATCAATTGTACGTTTTATTAATTATTGGAATCAATAATTATTGTCAATAATTATTTTCACTCGTTCTCATTCTCTTTCTCTCATTCTGTCTCT